CTTTTTTAAAAAAAATCATCTTGCATATGAAATTACTAACTTGATTAATTCAGATTCACATCGTATAATGTCATTAAAGGGGGAATAACTCTCTATCAATTTTTTTTTTAAAATTTGATACAGGGTTGAACTCGAAACCTATTTAGGATGAACATATCTCAACCACTTAAATGCAATTCACAAGTTCTTAGTAAACTCGTAAGTTCTTAGAATATACTCCCTCGTTTACTTGTACTTGTCCACTATATCAAAAATATATTTCTACTTTTACTTGTCCACTAAATCAAGAGAAAGGAAATTTTTACCTCTCTTTTACCCGTACCATTAGCTACTCACTAGTAGTCATACCCGCGCGATGCGCGGTCAATATTTAAAAGATATTAATTAAATTGAATTATGATCGGGCTTGTTTGATCCTATTAGATGGTATTGCTTTAATAAATTTTAATCGTCATCTTGTTTATCAATATGATATACCCAATAATAAAATCTCTAAATCAAAGGTATATAGTCGGTGAGTAACTTTTTTGTTCTATATTTTTCTTTATTATATTAGCCAATGTTTAGTATTATTACATTGTTGATAGAAATTTTTATTAGTATATGACTTTATTTACTATTTTTGCCTGCTCACTTTCTTTTTGTAATATAAGAGAAGATGTATAATTTATTACTGTTGAAATATTTTTTTATTTTAAATTTTATTTTGTTGTTCTTAATAATATTATCTAAATTTTAATGAATAAAATCTCTAGTAAACTAAAGGTACTTATACAGGCAGCGCAACGAATAACTTTTTTGTCATGTATTTTTCTTTATTATATCATCCAATATTAGTATTATTACATTGTTAATAGAAATTTTTATTAGCATATTACTTTATTTAATATTTTTCTCTGTTACTTTGTATTTGTAATATAATAGAAGATATATATTTTATTACCCTTGAAATAATTATTAGTTTAAATTTTATTCTATTGTTCTCAAAGATATTGTCTGAATTTTAATGAACAAATTCTAGATTAAAATAAAGGGACTTATGTAGTCATCGAATAACTTTTTGTTATGTATTTATCTTTATTATATCACCCATGTTTGATCAGTTAATTTTAGGTAGTTAATTTTGTTGTGTCTTTTTTAATCATTTTTTATAAATAATTTTTACATACTGGATAATGTCATCATTGCCCATGAATTGGTCAAAGGATACACTCAGAAAGGGATCTCACCAAGATGCTGCTTTAAGGTTGACATAAGAAAAGCTTATAACTCAGTTGAATGGCCTTTTTTAAAGATGATACTACTAGAGTTTGGAATGCATGTGAAGTTTGTGCAGTTGATAATGGAGTGTGTTACCACTGTCAGCTACTCTTTGCTAGTGAATGGGGGCTTGCCAGCTAAATTCCAAGGAAAGAAGGGGTTAAGACAAAGAGACCCAATGTCTCCTTACCTGTTTCTTTTGGTGATGGAGTACCTGAACAGGGCTTTGAAGAGTTTTAAGTTCAATCCAAACTTTAACTACCATCCAAGGTGCTCGAGAAACAACATCACCCACATATGCTTTGCTGATAATTTGATTCTGTGTTGTAGAGCAGATAAGGTTTCTATCAACTTATTACTGGAAAGATTCAATCATTTCTCTAAGGTGTCAGGTCTCAAGGCTAATATGGAGAAGAGTGCTATATACATCGCTGGTGTCACAAGGGAATTCAAAGAAATGATTTTAGAAGAGATGCAATTCATACTAGGGGAGCTACCATTTAAATATCTTTGAGTACTATTGTCTTCAAAGAAATTGACTGTTCAACAATGTATGCCATTGATTGAGAAGATCACTGCTAGGATTAACTGTTGGACTGCCAAGTTTCTCTCATACAGTGGAAGGCTTCAACTACTTAAGAGTGTGATATTTGAAATCTAGACATACTAGGCGCAGGTGTCTCTATTGCCAAAGAAGATTATCAAGCTAATAGTTACAACATGCAGAACCTTTTTATGGACAGGAAGTAGTGAACCATCTAAGAGAGCCTTAATTGGACGGGACACAATTTGTATGCAATTTTCAGCAGGTGGACTAAATGTTCTGGATATTCATTTATAGAATAAGGCTGCCTTGTGCAAACTGCTGTTGGCAATTAGTTCAAAGAAGGACACACTGTGGATCCAATAGATCCACAACTTCTACATTAAAGAACAAAATGTTATGACAATGGATACTCCTAAACAAGCATGTTGGCTTGTTAGGAAGATTTTTGATATCAAGGACTGGTTCATTGAAAAGCACCCAGCTGCTGAATTGAGCATATACTATAAGCAAGGAAAGTTCAGCATCAAGCAACTTTTTATTGCTATAGACCTCAGTATCAGAAGGGTCCTTGGTAGAGAGTAACAACAGGGTCCAAAGCAATGCCAAAACACCAGTTCATACTATGGTTGGTATTACATCGAAGATTAGCCACAGATGATCGACTAAGGAGATAGGGAATATCAGTAGCAAGCGACTGTGTACTATGTGGTAAGAGTGTGGATGAGACAATGGAACATATGATGTTTGTGTGTGATTACTCCAGAACAATATGGGCTACATTATTGCAGTGGATAGGAGAAAAACATTAAATTGGTAGCTGGGAAGAGGAAATTGAATGGATAAAAAGAAGGACTGCCAGCAAGGTTAGAGGTGATATACTAATATTCCTATTTACAACAGTGGTCTACCACATCTGGACAGAGAGAAATCAAAGAAGGTTCCAAGGAAAGATGATGGCTTGCACTCAGAGGATTAAAGATATTGTGCTGGAATTGCACATCAGAGGGTAGAGTGAAGCAAAGTGGCACAAAGAGCTGGAAAGAGTGAAGAGTTTTCCTATTTAAAATGAGTTAATTGTAAATGTAGTAGGAAATATGTTACCTGTTGTGACGACCCGGCCCGTCGTCACGTGAGTTACCGCCCCGTTTCCCCCATTTTCTGCTTCCTTATGTTTCATTATAGGAGTCTTGGGTGAATGAGTCGATTTGGATTGGTTTTAGAAGGAAATGAGACACTTAGTCTCTGTAAGGAAGGTTTGAATTGGAAAAGTCAACCGGTTATTGACTTATGAGTTAGAGGGCTCGGATGTGACTTCCGGTGATTTGGTTAGCTTCGGGGGATGATTTGTGACTTAGGAGTGTGATCGGAATTTATTTTGGAGGTCCGGTGTAGAATTAGGCTTGAATTGGCAAAGTTAGTATTTTGGCGAATTCCGGTTGATAGGTGAGATTTTGATCCGAGGGTCGGAATGGAATTCCGGGAGTTGCTGCGTTTCGTTAGGAGATTTTGGATGTGTGTGCAAAATTTCAGGTTATTCGGAGGTGTTTTGGTCGGGTTTTTGATCAAATGTGTAATTCAGAAGTTTTAGAAGAACTTAGGCTTGAATCCGATGTAATTTGAGGGTTTTGGTGTTATTTGTGGTGTTTTTGATGATGGGAGCATGTCTGAATGATGTTTTAAGATGGATTGGCACTTTTGGTTGAGGTCCCGGGGGCCTCGGGGTGATTTCGGATAGCCAACGGGATGGATTTTGGAGTTGTGAAATTGCTGGTTTGCTGATATCTGGTATTTCCGCATCTGCGGAAAAGGGGCTGCATATGCGGTTCTGCAGATGCGAAGATTTGGTCGCAGGTGCGAGTGTGGGCTATGTGGAGGATTTCCGTAGAAGCGGAGGGGTTCCGCAGGAGCGGTCTCCGCAAATGCGGTTGCCGACCGCAGAAGCGGTCCTGGGCGTATTAGTGAGTTCCGCAAAAGCGGATGGAAAATCGCAGAAGCGGTAGTCGCATATGCGGAAAGACTGTTCAGAGAAGGGTTTTTAAAACTCATTTGGTTCCGCGAGCTTAAGTTCATTTCCTCCATTTTTGATCGACCTTGAGAGCTTTTGGGCAGAAATTGAAGGGGATTTCGACTAGGTGTGATTGGAGGTGAGTTCCTTGACCTTAATACATGATTTAATGGTAGAATTAACATAGAAATTTGTGGAAATTCATCAAAAGAGGGTAAAGCTAGGGCTTGGAAATTTGGTATTTCAAAGTGGGATTTGATGGGTCATTTGGGCTCGAATTTGGGAGTTTTTGGTATGTATAGACTCGTGGCGAGATAAGGAAATCCGTTGATGTAAAATTTTCTGAAATTCGAGGAGTGGGCCCGGGGCTCGGGTTTTGCAGATTTCGTGATTTTCGATGTTTTTTTATTCTCTTCGATTGGGTATTGTTCCATTGGCATATTGTGACGTATTCGTTGTGGTTTTGGTCAGATTCGACGCGCGAGGAGGCCGATTTGCTAAGCAAGGGCATAGCGAGCTAGGATTTTGGCCGGCTTAAGGTGAGTAATGATAGTAAATGATATCCTGAGGGTTTGGAACCCCGGATTTGCACAACGTAGTGCTATATTGAGGTGAAACACGCACTTAATGGCGAGCGCGGGGTTGTTTAATACTGGGGATTGTGACTTGGTCCGTCCCGTTTGATACTTTACCGCGTATTTGACTGGCTGATTTGTTTATCATCGTGATTTGGGCTTATTGCCATGTTTTGGGCTTAAATGCCGATTACTTGAATCCTTCGGGGATTATTATCACTATTTCCTCACTATTTTGATACGTTATTTGAACTCAGTCCTAAATGTTATACTGTCTTGCAAACTCAGCCGCTTTAATTGAATTTTGAGATTTTAATGATATTTCACTGTTGTTTGGGCTGAGAACTATTATTTTATTGATGCCCGAGGGGCTTATGATGTTTCTGGACTGAGTGAGGCTTTCAGGCCTTGAGCGTGATGTGAGGAGGCTTACAAGCCTCGTGTGTATTGTGAGGAGGCTTTCAGGCCTCGAGTGTATTGTGAGGAGGCTTTCAGGCCTCGAGTGATATGTGAGGAGGCTTTCAGGCCTCGAGTGTGATGTGAGAAGGCTTTCAGGCCTTATGTTGATATAGCGCTTGGGCCGTAAGGGGCCCCTCCGGAGTCTGCACACCCACAGTGAGCGCGAGTACCCATGTGATTTGAGAGTAAGCCCGAGGGGCTGATGCTATGCTGTGTGACTGAGATTGAGCCCGAGGGGCTGTTACTGTACTGAGTGATTGATACTGGGCCCGAGGGGAAGTTTTACTATTCACTACTCATTTATTGTTTTACCTGATTTACCTGTCTTTAAGAAAATGAGACTTCATTTGACTTTTTACTGTTTTACTGCTTAAAGTGATTTACTGCCTGATATAGCATTGTCTTGTGCACTCATGTGTTTTCATGCCTTCAGTTATTATTTATTATTATTATTCACTGGGTCGGAGTACTCACATTACTCCCTGCACCATGTGTGCAGATTCAGGCATAGCAGAGTCCGCTCCTGAGCACTGATATTCTTCACAGACAGACAGCGAGTTGGAGCTTCGAGGTAGCTATTGACGTCCGCAGCCCCTTGACTCCCCTATTTTATGTTATTTCAGTTCCTTCAGACTGTTGTATCAGATATTCTATTTCTTAGACTTATAGTAACTCTGTAGTAGCTCATGACTTGTGACATCCCGGTTTGGGCTGTGTCGGGATGGTCTCCTTTGCTATTGTCGTTGTTCTCGCTTTTATAACTGTTTATACGCGTTGTGGATCTATTAATGCTAAGAAATTATTAAAAGAGGTGTTTCCGTTTGTTCTGGCTGGCTTGTCTTCACGAGAGGCGCCATCACGGCCGGGGTTTGGGAATTGGGCCGTGACACCTGTTTAGTCAGAAAGTTTTTAGAATAGGGTCTAGCTCTAGAGTCCAAATGAGCTAGCGAATATAAATAGTATACTTGTTTAAATAAAATATTTGACAGTTTAACCAAAAAATAATATATAGATTCCCCAAATTATTTTTCAAGGCTTTTGAAAATGCTATCATTATTATGGGTAAAATATTAAAATACATACTTATTTATTTTGGGAAAAGGGTCAAAATTGCCCCTCTACTATTGTTTATTGGTTGCCTGTGCCACCCGTTACACTTTTCGGCCATTCTCGTCCCTACCGTTAACAAAGTTTGCAAAATTACCCCTAACCCTAACGTTTCTCCACGGTGGCAGCTGACCCCATCAATTTTATCCACGTCAGCTTCCATGTCAGCTGCCATGTCATCGACCCCACCAAATTAAAACCCTAACATAAACGACCCCCCACTCCTCACCTCTCCACCCTTTCTCTCATCTTCTCTCCCTCACCTCATACCAAAATCGCCGGAAACCATGGCATTTCGCTGGAAAATTTTCAACGGGCAGAACTAACCTCCACGGTACTGACTCCCCTCTTCATCTCCTCTCCTTCTTCATGTTTCGTCATTCAAACAACAACCCCGTTCTCCGGCAAGAAATTTAAATCAACTCACACAGATAAAGACCCTTCATTCTCCCTCAGAATCTTTCAAGAAATAATTCTCACATGATTGATACAAAAAATTTTCAAACCTGCGACCATTCAATATTAGAAAAATTACCAAAAGAAATTTTCAAATATGAAACTCTTAAAGTTCAACAATGGTGAAGCCGATGAACCACGTTTAAAATTAATTTTTAATTGGGTTTTACAAAATTTCAGTCCTATAACAGTTACCAAATCACTCCTCAAAGTTTAATTCAACCTCATATGCATAAAATCCCAACCCAGGATGAGGCTTTAAATTCTCGATAATGGGCTTCCAAATCTCTTACTTGAATGTGGCCCAGCAGTAATGAACACATGAATTTAATTCAAAATCTGAAAATTCAAATATAATCATGTTA